TTACTCCCTCCGTCCCATATACCATGTCACTTTTTTTTTTTGAAAAATGATTATACACTTCAATCTTATTTTAAATTTTATTTTTTTTAATTTTAATTAAACTAATTAGTTATTTTAATCTTAATTTATAATTATTTATATTATAGGATAATTATTTTCACTAATACATTTTTAATTATCCACTAATTATACCCCTTTTAAAATACCGTGTCTACAGCGTAGCAGATAAAGTATCTGGGACGAAGGAAGTAGCATATATAATGAAAATTTATTTTCCACGGTCATTACGTTTGATTAGGACATATAGCTATCAAATCAATATCTCTATCATAATATATGTATAAGAAACAATCAATTTCCTAAGTCACTATCTAATTTAATATTCTATTTAAAAGAATAGGGAGATGCAAGTACTCCATCCGTCCGTTTTTTTTTTTTTTTTGAGTTAATTTATTAATTTTAAATATATTTAATAAATATAAATAACTTAATAAATTTTTTTTAGAATAAACAAAAATTAATCCGATTTGAACCTGACTCGAAATATTTGAGTTTGGATTGAAACTTTTTATTTAATTAATAATTGGGTCAAACTTGTTTAACTCATTTAATTAAATGGGTCAGATTTAAGTCCAAATTTTCAACCAGAAAATAATCCATTTAACTTGTTTAATTAATAGTATTTTAGGTCTAATTCAAATATTCATGGCCAACTTTATAAAAATAAAAATAAAACAAAATAAAATTTAAGCTAAAATTATATAAAATGAGGATTAAACAAAAGATTGTGTTGTGTATTATTGTATAGTGTTTATTAATCCGACTCTTGAAATCGGTTTTAATGATATGAATAAATAATTTTTGCTTTAATATGTATATATATTATGCATTCGAAAAATTTGTTACTAAAAAATTTAAAATTTTAAATTAAAATTAAAATTTTTTAGACTTAAACAAGTTATAAAAATCAGATTCAAGTAGATCCGATTAAAAAAAAGTGTGGTTAAGCTTGCATATATCAACTCGTTTAATTAAATAGGTTAGGTTCAAGTTAAAAGTTTTCTAACATGTTTATATCCGACTTGATTTGTTTGCCATAGATTTTTTAACTTTTTTAATATTTTTTTTTCGTTTTTTTACTAAAATTAATTATAAATATATTTTATTTATATTATATAAAATTCTATTGTCTTCGAAATAATATTCATATTATATAAACTATATTTCATTGAAATATAAAAAAAATATTTAAACCTATATTTTAAATTATTTTCATTATATATATTAAATTATATTTTTAAAATGTCAATAATATTATTTATATAAAAATAATAAAATAATATCATATTATATTATTAATAATTTAATAATGTATACTATTTAAATAATCATTTTTCTCACTAAACGGGTCGATCTTCTACGTGATGGCGTTTTTTGATTTGATTTTATTTCCCGTCAAAAAACAATAATTGCGTCAAAGAAGAGAAGCACGAGTTTAGAAAGCGTGATTTACTTCCAAACGTCAAATCCCTTCACATAATTCTCGGACCCCATTTTTAAATTAATTCAGGGACCGAAAATAAAATTGCATAAAAATGAGAGTAGAGAATAAAATTAAAGAAAAACAAAATAAAGTAAAGAACGAGAATTAATTATCTTATTTGGTAAAACAGAGAATTCAGTTTAGAAATGTAAAAAATATATAGCAGATAAAAAAAAAAGAGTTTTAATGAACGAGAATTTATGAAAAATATTTTTGTGATTTTTTTTATATTAAAAATTATAAATTATATACTATATTTTTTTAAATTATATTTTAATACAATTTTTTAAAAAATAGTAAAAATTAAATACTTTAATAATAAATTAAATTTGTTTTTTGTAAATTAAAATAATATAATTTAAAAAATTTATAAAAATTAAACAGAAACATATAAAAAACAGATAAATGAAAATGATTTATTTCTCAAATTTTGTTTGTCTGACTCAAATAAACAAGGGAAATGTGACCATTTTTATTTATCTCACCTCGTTTCTTTGTACCAAACAAACCTTTACTTTCATATTATTATCTTAAATATCATGTCACAAATAAAAAGTATCAATTGAGCTGAAATATTTTATTTTTCTCCTACAAAATATAATCAACATTCCCTCAGTTTTTTTATCACTATTTTTTAATTACGAGTCTTAGAAAATAATACTTGTATATTTTTAATATACTGTATAAAGATTATTTTACGTGTATAACGTTAATATAAAGGATATTTATGGAAATAAATATAAATATGAATGTATTTGTAATATATAATGAGTTCATATATATTAGAAATGAATACTTTATATTTGAACAAAAAATTAACATCATATATATTTATCAAGTGGACTAAGAAATATTATACTCCATCAGTCTCGTAATAAAGCATTCATTTTTCCATTTTAGTCTGTCTCATAACAAAGTATCTATTTTCTTTTTTAGCAATTGTACTATCTACCTAACATTACAAATACCCTTATAACTTACAATATATTACACAAATGTCACGGTCTTTATATCACACATACTAATAAGGTTATTTTAGTCATTTCTACTTTATTCCTACTATATTCCAATATAATACTAATATTTCTAAAACTACGTGCAAAAAATAAATAAATATTTACTTATTGAACAAATAGAGTATTTTTCATTTAAATCTATGTTATTTTTTTTTTTTTTTTGTTATAAAAATATCTTTCTTATTTGTTTAGCAAAGAAAGCGGAGTATATTTTTATACATTTTTATTATAAATAATAAAAAGTAACAATCATATATATTTGTGTTAAAATGTGTCAAAATACTTTATTCGTTCTATTTCAATTGTTTTTTTTTTTTGTCTATTTAATTTTAATTGAAACATTTCTATTTTTAAATAAAAATTATTAAATTTATACATACTTAATAAATATAAATAAATTTAATTAACTTAATAACATATACAGTAAGATAATACATCAAGATACACTCAAAACCCCTTTAATTATATTTCTTTCCTTAATAAACAAATATTTTTATCTACATTTAAAACTTCTATTTTTTTATAAAATTAGTTTTATCTTAGTTAAAAATTAATAAATATATATTTTTTAATTCATTTGCATTATTTAAAATTTTATTCTTTACAAAATAATATTCATATTCCATATGTTTTATTGAAATATAATATTTAAAATATTTAAACACACATTTTAAATTTATTTTAATCATACATATTAAAAATACCAATAATATATTACTCATATAATAAAATAATATAATAATTCAATATTATTAACTAATTAAACTTTTTACCTTAAATATCGTGTCATAAATGGAATGAGCTATTTGATTTGGGTTCGAGAGAGTATTTGAGTACATAATTAGATCACGGATGAAATATTATTTTATTGTAATACTATAAAATAGTAATATTTTAAAATGTTCTCTATGTTTTAACTTAATTGACATTTTTTATATTTTTGTCTGTCCATAATAATTGACATATTTTTATTTTTGGTAAAATTTACTAAATTAAAACATATTTAACAAATATAAATCAATTTAATTAATTACATAATGAAGTAAATAATATTATATATTACGTATGATCCACTCAAAACCCTTTTATTTATATCTCTTTTAAAAAAGCAAATATTAGTATCTACCTTTAAAACTTCACATCCTTTATAAAATTAGTTTATATTAATTATAAATAAATAAACGTATCTTTTATTTATTTATTTTTATTATAAGAAATTTAATTATATACAAAATAATATACATATTGTATATATCTTTTATTGCGATATAATTCTTTTAAAATATTTAAATATATATTCTAATTCTTGTAATTATATATATATGAAATTTATTTTAAAAAATTATATAAATATTATTAATTACATAAAAAAAATAATAAAATAATATCATAATTCATCCTTATTAACTAATTAAATATTGAATACCGTTCCAGTAATGAAAGGTGTCAATTTTGTTTGAAGGAAGTATATGAATTAGTTAATAATATGACATAAAATGTTTTATAAATTAAGTATATAAGTTATTGTGATATTTTTATAAATAAGTAAAATATTTAAAAAAAATACAAATTAAAAAGTACGTAAAAATTACTTTTAGTAAATGAAAAATAAATATTTTTATGGACAAAATAATTTTTTTTTTTGGCAGAAGGTGTTAAAATTAATTAAATTAAACATTTATATTTTATTTAAAATAAAAATTACAATTTATTTCAAATAATATATTTTTTAACTCAAAATATTACTTTATTTGTCTAGATATTATTGTGTTTCTTTTAGAGAATTGAGTAGAAGTATAATTAATAAATAATTAAAAATATATTAATAAAATAATTATTATTTAATAAAAATAATTTTAAATTATAATTAAAATAATTAATTAATATAATTAAAATAAAAAATTTAAATTAAAAATTTTAAATTAAAATTAAAAAAAAAATATATATATATTTTTTAAAAATAACAAAATAAATGTACAGACAAAGATAAAAATCCAATGGTAATCCATACCAAACATATCCGATTACAATAATAATAATAATAAAGTTAATTAATTTATTCTATTAATTTTATATTTTAAATTATTATTGAAATAACTCTCTTTCGTATTTGACGCTCCACCGCCCCTCCACTCGTCCGTTAAAAAACTAGAAACCCAAAAGGTAACTCATTACCACCTCTGTCTCACCCGCTGTTCACTCAACCTCCAAACTCCACCAATCATCTGCTAAAGTTTTTACACGTGTCGAAATATCATTGCGCCGTCTCGCAGTCCCGTCACAGTCTGCGTACACAATGAATCCCCATTATTTTAACTGCGAGTGCGGGTAATTTTCACCTAACCACGGTTAAATGTAAACTAACCATGGTTAAACACCCACTCCTCCTGCAGTTTATATACGAACTGAAACCCTGCCGGAAAATTCAGCAATTCCCAATACAGGAAAAAAAATAAAATAAAAAATCAATTGAAGCAGAAATTATGATGATCGGAGAAAGGAGCTCCGGCGGAACTCCGCCGTGGGAGTACGACGGCGCCAATGGCGACGATTACTCGTTCCTCTTACAGAGCGACTGCTTGAAGGCTTTGCAGCGGTTTTTGCCGTCGAATTCGAGCGACGCCGCGCCCGAGTTTCGATTTCCGGAGGCTGATTTGAACGGAGAGGTTTTTCCGGTGGACGCGCACTCGTCGGACCACTTCCGGATGTTCGAATTCAAGGTGCGTAAGTGCACGCGCGGCCGGTCTCACGACTGGACGGAGTGTCCGTACGCGCATCCGGGGGAGAAGGCGCGCCGCCGTGACCCGAGGAAGTACCACTACTCCGGCACGGCGTGCTCCGACTTCCGTAAGTGCGGCGGCTGCCGGAAAGGCGACGCGTGTGAGCACGCGCACGGCGTTTTCGAGTGTTGGCTACACCCGGCGCGTTACCGCACGCAGCCTTGCAAGGATGGTATGTCCTGCCGGCGGCGCGTGTGTTTCTTCGCCCACTCGCCGGATCAGCTCCGCCTCCTCACCCCACGCGCCGACTCCTTCGACGCCTCCCCCCACCGCCTCGTCTTCATGCCTTCCCCGCCGGAATCTATCTCCCCGCCGCCGGCGGACTCTCCGCCGCTATCTCCGATGACTTCCGGCTCCGTCAACGAAATCGTGGCCTCAATCCGCCGCCTCCACCTAAACAAATTCAACTCCGTGCCGCCGTCGTGGATCTCCGGCGGGGCTTCTTCCCCCCGCCTGAACCCTACCCGACCCGGATACTTCAGTCTGCCCACAACCCCGACCCGATCCGTAACCAGACCCGGATTCGGTTGGGAGAGGTCTCAGCAGGACGAAGCTCCGATGGCGTTTGTTGAATCAGGAAGAGACCTGAGAGCAAAGATGTTCGAGAAGCTCAGCAAGGAGAACCCGCTGGATCGATCCGACCCGGACCTGGACCCGAGTCCGAATCCATATGCCGACGTTGGTTGGGTCTCGGAGCTTCTAAAATAAAAAAGCTTCTGGTCAGTAATCTTCCAAATATTCCCAAAATTAAGAAAAAAATTATTAGAAAAATGAAATTAAAGCCAAATATTTTGTAGATATTATTAATATTGTTAGAAAAAAAATTTGGGAATTATCATTAATTAAATTATGGTAATTGATCTCTTTTGCACAAATTTTCCCCATGAAAAGATGATCCTGTTTTTTATTTTTTTAATTTAAATAATTAGTGTATAGTGAAGGGTACAAAACAGCTGAAATATTTAGGGCTCTGTTTGTTACTTTAAATTATTAATTAATTATGAAATATGATGCTACAATATATTAAATTGTAATGTGTATTTAATTTCTCATTTTTATATATTTTTGTTTGGGTTGGAATATTGAATATTGAATATTAAAAAATAAAAAATAGTCATATAATAGGGAAGATGCATTGCCTAGGATGAATCTCATTTACATTTCTTTGTGCACTATGTTTATAATGTTGGTCATGGAAAAAAATATATATATATATTTCTGATAATTTTTATGAGTGGATTATATATGATTTTTACGAGTGGATTATTTGTTTGTTTCGAATGTTATTTATTTATTTATTACGTGAAATATAGAAAATTGTATAGATAATAAAGAATTAATGATTTTGCAATATATTAGTAAATGAAGATAGGTAAGAAATTTTATCTATTTTATTTGTGTATAAATTAATTGGATACATAATGATATATTTGTAATTTTGAGTAGAAATTAAAAATATTTTAGTATTATTGTTGGATTATTTTTATTAAAATAAAAAAAATGATACATTTGTGTGTCGAGAAATTGTACTCTCATTTGAAAGGAGCATTTGGGGTTTTATAACGAAGGGTAAACTATATTTTTGTTGTTTTAGTAATTTGGTGCCGTAGATGCTTGGATTTTATTTTATTTTTATTTTTTAATTTTTTTTAATGGGATCAAATAAAAAAATTTAAAAGAAAACAAATATATATTTTTAAAATAAAAATAAAAAATAAAATTCATGTATCTGCCAAATTGACTTGGCCGATACGTGGTTTTCGGTGAGCTACGTTGGCGTAAAATTTTTGAGATTAGTTTTGCGACGTGATTCATTTATAGAACTAAAATAATAAGGGTCTATGAGTCTAAAAAAATAATTTATCTTATAATAAATTAAAAAATAATATTATTTTATTTATTAGTAAGATTAATAAGTATAGAACTAAAATAATAAGGGTCTATGAGTCTAAAAAAATAATTTATCTTATAATAAATTAAAAAATAATATTATTTTATTTATTAGTAAGATTAATAAGGAAGAGATTTTGCAACAGCACAAAATAATAAAAACAAATTACTTCATACAAGGGGAGTACATGTTATTGTCTACTGGAAACTCTAGAACGTAGGTTCTAGCTTCTTCTATATATATACACTTTTTGGGAAATTTTTGTTATTTGTTTAACATAATAAATATTTATTCAGTCAGAAGCTATATACATATGTTTATTTTGAAATGAGTAAATATTTCATTAAATAATTCATTTTTTTTTATAAATATTTATATTTTAATTTATATAATTACTTTTACACTAGGGTGTGTTTGTTTGAAGGATTTTGGTGAATTTTTACTATTCATCCAATTTTTTTTTCCAAAAATATCAAATCAAACACCTATTTTTTATTTTTTATATTATATTAAAAATTAATTTTACATTCAAAACATCACATCAAACTCTATTTATATCACATCATATAACTATTTAAATTCAAAATTTTTACTATTCAAATCCCAATTCAAAATCCAAGCCCCCAAACAAACACACCCTAAAAAATAAAGGTAAAAATATTATTATATTATTTTTAACTACTTATTATAATTAAAATGCTATTATCTTTTAAAAATCGCGTCAAAAGTAATTGTATATTTTATGTGTGGACGGAGGGATTATTATTTTAATTTACAATATATTACAATGCATTATTTTTATATTACACAATACTAATAAGAGTATTTTTTTTTTATTATAATCTAATATAATATTAATATTAAAAAATTTACGTACCAAAAATGTTACTTTTTATATGGGAGTATTTTTTTTTTTTGTCTGTGTTTACTTTTGAGATTTAATCTTCGGTTTTACTATTTTAACTTTTTTTCAAAATAATATTTAATTGAATATTTATTTTTTATTTATTATATTAATTAAAATTTATATTAAAAACTATCATATAACGTCAAATAACTATTGTAATTCAAAGATTTACTATTTAAAATTAAAATTCAAAATCAAAATTTTACAAGTAAAACACATATAGTTTTTCTGATTTTTATGGTGTGTTTGTGCGAGTTTTATGTGATATTTTGAATATAAATATAAAAATTAAAAAATAAATATTGATTTAATATTTTAGAGAAAAAAATTAATTAATAGTAGATTTTGAGAAAAATTTTGTAAGCAACACAACTTTAAATCTATTTATAATAAATAATTTTAATTACTTATATTTATTATTTTTATTTTAATTATAATATTTAATTTGTTATTATTATTATTATTTAATTATTATATAAATTATTTAATAAATTTAAAATATTTGTACTCTATTTTTTATTTACTTGGAATCATTGATTATAGAACTTAACCTCCATAATGCATTATTAATTATTATTTTTAGTATTCTTTTATGGAATATTTATCTATGAATATGGAGTATTAGAAAACATAATAGACGTATTATTAACATAATTTTTTTATATTATCAAACATAATTATTCGTATTTAACATAAAAATATATTCATAAAAAGGTATAAAATAAAATACTCAATTTGTTAAAATAATAATAATAATAATAAGTGAAGTAAAATATATATATATGTAAATAAATTTTAATCTTATTATAAATTACATTAATTAATTTTGGTCTTATTAAAAGAATTTTAATCAAATTTTCTATTAGAAAATTAATGATTTGATTAATATTGATTAAATTTTTTCAATGAAATCAAATTTGATTATTATGATTTAAAATAGGAACATTTTTTTTTGGGTAAACTATTTTTTTTTAGTTCCGTAGGATCTCTTATCACTTTAGTCCTGTAAGTGGAGCATGTCGCAAATTAGTCCCATAAGTGAAAGATTTTCGCTGTTTTAGTCCTCCGGCGCCGGAGATGCCTGCGTGGCTCGCCGGAGGTGACGTGTCCGTCAGGTGTCGCTGACCTGGCGGACACGTGGATTTTTTTTAAATTTTTTTTCATTTTTTTAAAACTTATTTTTAATTTTTTTTTTGTATTTTTTTTATTTTGTCTAATTAAAAAAAATTAAAAAAATTAAAAAATTAAAAAAATAAAATAAATCCACGTGTCCGCCAGGTGTCACTGACCTGGCGGGACACCTGGCGGACACGTCACCTCCGGCGAGCCACGCGGGTGTCTCCGACGCCGGAGGACTAAAACAACAAAAATTTTTCACTTATAGGACTAGTTTGCGACAGACTCCACTTACGGGACTAAAATGATAAATGCGTTCAGTTATGGGACTAAAAAAACAGTTTACCTTTTTCTCTTTTTTTTTTTTTTTTTTTTTTTTTTTTTCTCTATATAAATAAATAAGACGAGTAAGAATATATTTAATATTCGTTGGGCCGAGCCCAAATTAAAGGAAAATAGTGGAAAAGTTTTTGGATTTGGGTTAGGGCTTTGCATGCTGGGCTTCAAATGCTGGAAATTATAGTACTAACACATTAGGGTGTTTGTTTGGGGGATTTTCTCCGAACTTTACCATTCATTCAAATTTTTTTCTCCAAAAATATCAAATCAAACATTTATTTTTACTTTTATATATTATGCTAAAAATCAATTTTACATTCAGAATATCGTATCAACACCTATTTATATCACATCATATAATTATTCACGTTCAAAATTTTTACTATTCAAATCCCAATCCAAACCTCCAAAATAAACGCGCCCTAAATATATTCTCTATTAAATTTAAAGTAATAAAGAGTGTGTTTTGTTTGTGGGTTTGGATTCGTTAATAGTAAAAATTTGAATTGTTATTTGATGCAATATAAGTAAATATTGATGTAATATTTTGAATATAAAATAAATATAATATAAAAATAATAATAATAATTGTTGGATTTCATATTTTTGAAAAAAAAAATAAATTTGAATAATAAAAAGCTGAGGAGAATCTACAAAGAACACAACCCAATGGGTTTTGTATAAAATTTTACAAAAATATAGATATTAATAATGTAATTTCTTAACCAAATAATTTTATTATTATTTTTTTTGCAATACATAAAAGTATGGTAGAATTGCCTAAAACTTATATCTAGTTTCACGAAATTGTATCAAATTTTTACATTTTCAAAATTACATCAGACAATCTCATGATTTTATATACTCTGCGTCTAGATCTCTCGACCGTCGTTATTTAACAGTATTTTATCTGCACACGCCCAAAATGTAAATGAGTTTCAGAATCTCAATTTCTCAACTCTTGAAATTATAAATATCCTTATTTTTTTTTTTATATATTTAGCCTCAAAAAATAGTAAATATATTTATAAATAATTGTTTTTCTTTTATTTTAAGAATATTTTTTAGTGTTTATTAAGATTAAATGTAAGAGGAATGAATATTTTTATAATTTTAGGTGTTTAGAAATTAAAAGTTTGAAACTCATCTGCAGTTTGGACGTGTGTAGGTCAAATACCGTTAAATAAGGACGACCGAGGGGGTTGGATACAAAATTTTTAAAACTATGAAGAAGTTTGACGCATTTTTTAAAGTATGAGAATTTGAAACAATTTTTTGAAACTAACAATTGGATTTTGTATGGTTAGACCTAATAATATAAATAAACGTTACAAAATTAATATAAATATTTCATCCGTTCCATTGAAAGGTAGCCATTTTCTATTTCGGTCCGTCCAAAAAAAAGGTTACAATTTCTTAATTTAGTTATTGTGTTATCTACCTAACATAATAAATACTCTTTCAACTTACACTATATTACACAAATGTCATTACTTTTATATTATACAATATTAATGGGGATATTTTTGTCTTTTACAATATAACCCAATATAATACTAATATTAAAATATTTACGTGCAAAAAGTAAACGGTAACCTTTTTACGTGATGGAAAGAATATATTGCAAATACAATAGTTTCAATATGCACCATAATAATTCTCATGCATATATATATATATATATATTTGTCCAATTAAATTTTTATCAATATGATTCTCAATATATATAATATATTTTTTATTTTTCCATAAAAAATTAATATTCACGTAAAATATTATTAATTTTATATTAGCTATACAATTTTTCATATCTTATACATAAAAAAATAAAAATAAAAACTCACACTAAAACTTAAACAAACACACCTAATCTATACAATATTAGTAAAAAGATTTTATTTTATATTCTTATAAGTTTTTTTAAAAAAATCTTCCCTAAAATACCATTATTTACCAAACTCCATCCCATGTTCGTAAAGCCGTGTTTGTTACAATGCATTATAAAGAAAGAAATATTTCATTCAATAATTCAATAATGGTTTCACACATGAAGTCCAAGTTAGTAAATTGTATAGTAAAAAAATAAGTATACAAATATAAATAATATTAATAATAATAATACTCCCTCCGTCCCATGTAATATGGGTGTGTTACTGTAGACACGAGAATTTAGGTAAAGTATAATTAGTAAGTAATTAGAAAGTGTATTAGTAAAAATAATTATAGATTAAGATTAAAATAACAAAATAGTTTAATTTAGATTTTAAAAAAAAATTAAATTTTAAATTTTAAAATATGATTAAAATATATAATTAATTTTCCAAAAAAGAAAAGGACAAATTATGTAGGACGGACGAAAATAGAAAATAGAAAATAGGGACAAATTATGTGGGACGGAGGGAGTAATATATTTACGTTTATAATACCTATTTCAAAATTTAAATACATGAAATACTCTATATAAAATAAATCATACATTTAATCTACCAAAATATTGCGTACAATTCATATATATTTGTATATAAAATTACTACTGATTTTTATTTATATGAATATAAATCATAAAAAAAATTTTATATACACTAATATTTTATCTTTCAAGAAATCATATATGAACACATTATTATCAGCAGGAGTGAGTAAAATATCCAAAATCCGAAAACTCGATCCAAATCAAACCGAAATTTAAAATTTGGTTCGGATTTTTTGGATTTTCGGATTGGTTTGGATTGAATTTTTTGACAAATTTCGGATTTTTGGATCGGATCGGTATACTTAAAATCCGAATCAATCCGAAATCCGAAATATAACATTTTAATATATATATTTTATTATATATATTTAATATTTTAATATAAAAAAACTCAAAATTATTAATTATATTTTAATATATTTACTTTTATATATTATGGAGTATATATTTAATATTATAAAATAATCATAAAATATAAAAGAAATTTACAAATTAAAAGAATAATTAAAAATATTTAAAATTTCAGATTTTTCGGTTTAGTTCGGATTTTTTAGATTTTTCGGTTTACAAAGTATACATATTTCTATTTTTGGAATGTCCAATTACAAAGTAACTATTTTAATAAATACCTCACTTTTTTCCACAAATACTCTTACTTTACATCACATCATTACTTTTATACTAAAAAGTAAGGACAAAAATATCATTACACTATTTTTACCTACCAACTATAAATAAAATATTATTATTTTTTAAACTTTGCGCCAAAAATAAATGTATCCGTATTGTTTGAACAGAGGTGTTCATGTTTTACATGTATTATATTAATTATAGAATAACAAACAATTTAGTTATAATAAAAAAACAACACAAGCTATAGTATATTTCAACACATTACAATGCATTAATACAATCTATCTATTTACTTTTATTAAACAATTTATGTGATTTTTTTTTTTTCTATTCTATATATTGTTAGTTCAAATATTATCCTCCCTCCGTCCACCGATAAAGTATACATTTACTTTTGGCGTGGAGTTTAAGAAATAATAGTATTTTAATTATAGTGGGTAGGTTAGGTAAAAGTAGTGTAATGACATTTTTGCCCTTGCTTTTTGGTATAAAAGTAATGATGTGATGTAAAATAAGAGTATTTGTGGAAAAAAATTGAGTATTTAATGAAATAGTTACTTTGTAATTGGACGTCCCAAAATAGAAATATGTATACTTTGTAGCTGGACGGAGGGAGTATTATATTATGATAACATAAAACAAACAACATTAGTTAGAGTCATATTTATACTATGTATTATTTGTCTCAGCACTCTAACAGTCTGTCAATTATTATACACAATATATATCATTTAATATTTAATCTATAATTCAAAAAATAATTTATGGAGTTTGTTCATTCAATATATTTTTAGGTTGCATAATTCTCTATAAATATTATAAAAAATACAATATATACATAATAATATAATATATAATATATATACTCATTCAACCCCAGAAAATCAATGATTCAATACAAAGTATTTTTTTATTTTACTGACACGATTCTCCATACTTAATATAAAAAAATACATTCATCCAAAAAAAACAAAATGAACACACACATATATATCATGTATATATATATATTTTTAATAGTATAGGAATTCGTAGTCATTACTCTTCATCATATGTCATAGGTAAAATTTAGAGACATAAAAAATTTAAACTTATGACGTTATAATCACAATTTCACCCCATACCATCAGACCATCCAACTTCTTCATGTACAATTTTATTTATTTATTTTTTTAATTTTTGGATGAACTCGTGATCGTGAAATTATGAGTTAAAAATCCAAATATTTCACTTTTCCTCTGCCACACATGGCTACCTAATATAATGTCTTGTTGGATTTAATTTGTAGGCTATTAGGTTCGGCCAGAAGTATATCAAAAACGCATTCGAAAAATAGCGATTACGAATTCCCATGTTTAAATAATAATAATAATAAAAGGAAAAACTTCTTCTTCATGTATAGTTGATGTGCAATAAAATGGAAGATGACCATTTCACATGACCATAGAAAAGCAAAGCTTTAGTATGTGAACACATCCATTTCTTACCAAAGCAAAAATTTGGTGGGACCCACCCTAATGGCTAAGCATTTTGACATTGTAATATATATATATCTCACATTGACCAAGTTCTTTCCCTTTTCCAACACACAATTATATTAATTTCAAAAATTATTTTTTCAAAATTTTTAATATAATTATATTAAATATTTAAATATATATATTATATATATATTTTATCTCATCTTAGTAAAAATAGTACATATGGTCAATCCCAACATCCATATGCAATTTGGATTATAGAACCATTCACACTCTTGTTCTACTTTGAATTTGCATGGTTTCCATTAATTTACCTACATGTAACTATCATACTACTTTATTAACAAAAATAATTTATTTTGTTTAGTAAAATACTATTTCAATCATTACTAATTCAAATCAAAATTCACAATAAAATCCCAAATAAACATATCCTCTAAATTGTATAATTATTTAACATGATATAAATTGTATAATTATTTAAAAATGCATATTTTGAATTTTTTTTATATATAATATATATCAAATAAAAATAGACATATAATGTGACGTTTTAAGGGTAACAAATAAATGATCATATTAATAAAAGTAAGAAATAATGAGAGAAAATTCAACCAAACAAACCCAATTTTGCTAATACATGTGGAAATAGTGTACGTTTGTACATTTATATAAGGTTTTTCTTTGTGTGTGTTATTTCAACAAAATAACATTATTTTGCACAATTTTTAATAAAAATATATTATTTTTTTCACAAAATATTAAATCACAATATTATTTAAATAAAAATTCAAATCTAATATTTTATTTCAAATCAGTTAGAAATCACAACCAAATAACCTAACTGTTCATTTACATAATTCAAACAACTTCTAGATTTATTTATTTTGCATTTTTTTATTTTTTTATTTTACTTTTTGAATTAGAAATATGCTCAAAAAAAAAAAAAAAAAACATATACGTACACCTTTTCGATTAATAATAAAAAAATTCAATATATAGTACATTCTATTTATTTATGAAAAATTAATAATTTAAAATATAAAATAATGTTTTTGTATATTCAAATACATGTCCTCATATTTAACTCAAAAAATACTTCAAACTAAAAACAGTAAACAAGTACAAGTTTTAAATAAAAATAAATACTAAATTTAAACTTTTAAATAAAAATAGGTTATAAACAAGAATGTTTCAACAAAATTATACATAAGATGTCTAAAACTTTCAAGTAAATAAATATTTTATTATAAATCACATAGTACGACACTAAAATCAGAAAATAATTAAATAAATCAAAGTGAACTAAATTAAGAAACAAAAGTTTGGTAATTTAATCCCGTTTGACAAAGTCAAAATTGATACCCTTTTTATAACCCCTTCTTTCAAGAATCTTACCCATGTCTTGTCTTCTTACATCTTTCTTCGAGCACAAAAATCAAAATTTCGATCATCAAAAAATCAAGAATTCAATCACCAAAACAATATAGATTTTTATTGCAATAATTGTGTTCAAAAAATGGGAAGAGCTCCTTGTTGTGACAAGACAAAGGTAAAGAGAGGGCCATGGTCCCCCGAAGAAGACCTAACTCTCAAGAACTACGTCGAGGCTTACGGCACCGGAGGAAATTGGATCGCGTTGCCTCACAAGGCCGGTAAGAAATTAGAGTTTCGAATGCATGACTCTATTCGCTGAAAAAAATTATTTTGAAATATTATTTTTCGATCATTTAGGACTTAAACGATGTGGAAAGAGCTGTAGACTGAGATGGCTGAATTACTTGAGGCCGAACATTAAGCATGGCGGTTTCACTGAGGAAGAAGACAATGTTATTTTGTCGCTTTACCATACCATTGGAAGCCGGTAAGGCTATCTCCGACCCATCAACTCCATTTATCCAATTTTATCTCCAAATATGCCGTTGCTATGGTAATTTTATTCCAATCATAACTCCATTTTTCACTATTATTATTCAAATATTCAATTTTTCCTATTATTTTAAACAAATTTTTATTTTTATAATTTTAAATAAAAATTTTAAAAATTTTAAAAAATTAAAATTAAATTTAAAAGTAAAATTTATAATTTTAAAAATTAAAAAAAATAAAATAAAAAATAAAACAAACACATCATAAATGACATTTGCTACAGTACAACACAAAAAATGGTGTTAAAATTGGCGCCCGATTGGAGACCGTGAGCGGCATAAATGGGATTGCAACGTCAAAATTGAGGTTGCATTGGAGATGCAAAATAATAAAATAAATTCTGACTTTATCATAAAATAAATTTCCTGGAAAAATCACAGTTCTATTCAAAACATATCTAAACACATTCATATTTTTTTTAAGTGTTCATATGATTTAGGGTTTAGGGATTAGGGTTTTTATTGAGTGGTTTAGTAATACATTTTGTGTTTAGGTGGTCAGTGATAGCATCGCAGTTATCAGGGAGGACAGATAATGATGTCAAGAATTACTGGAACACGAAGCTAAAAAAAAAATTATTGGCCACGTCATCATCCTTAGGGTCATCGTCTCACCCCGCCGCCGCCGCCGGCGGCGGCAATGGTGGCGGCAACTATATGACCTCATCGACAAACTATATTACGAGCCAAAATAGCTCGAGTTTCTTGGCTAGTAGCGTCGATGGCAACATGTCATTGCCGTATTATCCTAATTTCAGTGATCAAGAAACTGTCGCGGGTAAAATGCTTATAGAGGCGATGATCGCCGAGAGTTTGTACGATTCGGGGCCATTGTTGTTTCCTCTTCAAGAAGGGCTCTCTCCGGCGCTCTCTGTCGGGGGCGGGTCGTGGACGTCGTCATCGTCGACGTCGGGTAGTGGATCCGGGGGAGGTTACGATGCGTTTTTGCCCGACGGATCGATGCCTTTTGACCTTATGAATGCGTTCGACGAATTTTCGGGCGGTGTTTGAGGTTCGGTCAGCTGCCCGGCCGGAGGCATTAAGGGGTCTTTTTATTATATGTGAAAAAGCTAAGTTAAGAAGATGTAAATAAAGTTAATGAAGGTAGGGTTTGTAGTTAATTATGGCTAAGGATGAATGTAGTTTTTGATTTTTGAACAAATCAAAATTAAATTAATTAATTAATTAATTAATTGCCACTATTTAATTAATTATTTTTCTTTAAATATCACAATCATAATCATCGACATTATTGATCGATATTATATTATTTGTGTATGTAATAATTATATATATATATATATTAAGTCTTACAATAGATTGGGACACGAAAACTTCATGTAGGGTTTATTGACAGCATGAAATATCATTTTTTATTATTTTATTTTCCAAATCTTTTAGTATTAAATTTAATTTAAAAATATAGCAAAAATTATACTCTATCCGTCCGTCTCCGAGGGTCACGTTTACTGTGTTATTGTACTTAACGTTAAAAATATTCTTATATTTGTATAATATTTTGTACAAATTTCTTTCTATTAGTATTATAAGACACTAATTAAAGTATTTTTTTTCCATTTTTTTTTAATTTATACTATGTTTTGATACAATAATTAATATTCGAATATCAACGCACAAAAAATAAATGAGAGCCTTAGAGCCGGACAAAAATACTATAAATTTTCATTCTTTGTATGTATATATTTTTATTTTATCCTTATAATATAACCTTAAATAAAAAAAAATCAAAATAAAATGATAAAGAAAATCAAATATATTGAAACGTCACATCCAATAGTATATTACTCTAAAATACCCAAAAAAAAATAATACTAATAAAACTAAATACATACCAAGGGTGTGTTTATTTGGAGGTTTGGATTTTGAGTTGGGATTTGAATAGTAAAAATTTTGAATTTGAATAGTTGTATGATGTGATATAAATAGGTGTTGATGTGATGTTTTGAATGTAAAATTGATTTTTAGTATAATATAAAAAATAAAAAATAAGTGTTTGATTTGATATTTTTGGGGGGAAAAAATTGGATGAATAGTAAAAGAAAAATCCAATCCCGCAAACAAACACACCCCAAGTAAACATATATATTTATATGCATACAATCATTATCATGTTATTTAAAATTGCTTGGAATATTAAATATAACATTATAATAAATAAGAATTTTTATATAATTTTTTTTTTCGAATATAAATAAATTATTTAATTAAATATGCATATAATATTACATATGTTTAATTACATAAAAATAGAGGTAATGTATCTATGTCATCCTTAGAAAAAAAGTGGACATATATATATATTAGAATCCATACTTGTAGGAAGCTTCCACGAATGTTCCTCAATAACATAACTATAATAATTGCTGACTTATTGAGATTTTTATTTTTATTTTTTAATTTTTAATTTCAAACCACAATTTGTGTTTATATATATAAAAAAGTTTTGTCACTATTTATAGATATTACTTCTTTTTTAAAATGTACCACATTATTATTTTTTTATTTTTATACTCCCTCCCTCCGTCCACAAACTAATGTTCTACTTTCCTATTTGAGACGTCAAACAACTATTGTCCTCTTTCATTTTTTAAACGTAAATTTTACATTTTTACCCTTCATTCATTTATTACTTTTAATCTCTACCATACACTTAAGGACAAATTTGTCAATTTATAACAAAAAGACAATCACCTAAAAAACTGTGCAAATATAATTTAGGACAATAGAAATTGGACGGAGGAAGTATAAAATATCATACTCTCTCCGTCCACACATAAAGTATACAATTACTTTTGGCGCGGTGTTTAAGAAATAATAGTATTTTAAGTATAATAGGTAATTAAAAATAGTATAATAATATTTTTGCCCTTGTTTTTTGGTGTAAAAATAATGATGTGATGTAAAGTAGGGGTATTTGTGGAAAAAAATCGAGGTATTTAATGAAATGTTTACTTTGTAATTGGACGTCCCAAAATAAAAATATGTATATTTTTTAACTAGACGGAGAGAGTATTATTTATATTATATTAAACAATCAAATTTTATTTTTACCATATTTGTTTTCAAATTTTATTTATATTATATTAAACTATCATGTATTCTTTTCGAATTTTTCATTAATAACTATTTTGATGCAATATTTCCTACAATGAAATAATATATTTTTGAAAAATTATAATAATTATATAATAAATAAAAAAATAAAAATTTGAAGTTACTTATATATAAACAAGGCCCTATGTTAGTTACTTCGACATGGTTAATTATTGCACTTATTATATACTCTCAACTTCTACTAAATTTAAGTTTTTTTATTTTTTTATTTTTACATAACATATATTCTATTTGTCATAATTCAAAGTGTTTTTTTTGTATATATATATATATATATTATTTTTGTTTGTTTCAATTTTAGAAAAAATAATTATATCATTACATATGTAATTATAATATACATAAAATCAAATGGCAAAAATATACTAAAATTACAATATTTTTATCTAATAAAATATTATTCCCTCCGTCCCGCTGCAAAGTATACATATTTTTATTTTGGGACGTTCAATTACAAAGTAACCATTTCATTAAATACCCAACTTTTTTCCATAAATACCCTTACTTTACATTACATCGTTACTTTTATATCAAAAAGTAAGGACAAAAATGTCATCATACTACTTTTACATACCCATTATAATTAAAATACTATTATTTTTTAAACTTTGCGCCAAAAAAAAATGTATACTTATTGTTTAAAAGAATGAAGTATTATTTATTAATTTACTACAAAACGTCAAATGATCCATTTAATTTGGACAGGAGGGAGTATAACTTTTATTTATAGAAAAAAATTCTTATATCCTTTTCAATTTATAATCTTCATATTATATTTATTACAAGAATGTTACAACTACTTACTTATTCAATCAATTAAAGATTTTTGTTTCACTTTATTAATTAACACGCTCAGATATTTTCAAATATACTCTTATTTTATATCACAATCAACTAATATAATATTTGTGCAAACTTAATAGCGCACTCGAGGTTAATAACCCCTACAAAGAGATAATTAGTTAAATAATAATGATGATATTTTCGTAATAATACATAAGATTTGTTTGGTTGTTGTTTGAAATTGATTTTGAAATGAAACATTAGTTTTAGTTTTTATTTTAAATAGTATTTTGATATGATGATCTGTAAGAACAAATAATATATTTTTATTGAAAACTGTGTCGAGTGAATAACGTTGATTTCAGTTTAAAATAAATCGATCGATTTTGGGCATATTGTTGTTTAAACCAAATTACAAACCAAACACACTATCTGTTGGGGTGCAAATCCAAGTCCCACATCGAAAATTGTGAACAAAATTACACATCTTATAAATCCTAAGTGACCTCCACTAGAATGATGTCTTTTAGAGAATATCCAAAAATAAATTCGTGCGGGCTCAGCCCAAAACGGATAATATCATACTAGCATTAGTTGACCCAGTCCCAACACTATCTATTTAGTTGATCAAATTGATATTAATATTTTAAACAATGTGATTAAAAAAAAATAATAACAAAGTAATAGTAATATCTTTGTCAAATTCAAAATTTCAAGCAAGGGTTCACATTCCTATTTTTTAAGGGTTTACCAATAATATGAACATATTGGTCAGCTTATAAATAAATTTTCAAATGTACTTTCACTCATATACAATTAGGTGTGGACCCAATTTAGTGTCCTTAAATTTTTGTGTAACAATTTTTTTTTTACCATTCAAATCTATGTGATATTTTAAATAATTTTAAAGATTAGATTATAATGCTCAGATTGTTTTTATAGATTAAATAATTATGAAATTAATTAATATGATGTTTACTTTGTCTGATTAAATATAAAATGACATAAAGTATCACTTGGATAAATTAATCATACTCATTTATCTAGATATGATTAATTATATTTAATTAGCATATTAGTGTAGCTGGCTTTAATCAATATCTGATTTTAATTCATTACAGTAAATATATGATTTATGATGGATAAAATAATATTATCAATTCTAATGCTCCAAAGTAAACACACCCTTAATATATACAATATTAAGTAATAATTTATATTAATATAATATAAATATAATATATGAACTGACAAAATATGACAATAATTTACATAACAGTGCTTTATGACTATCTTATTCAATTGTACTGTAAATATATTATTGTGCTATAAGCTTGTAATTGCTGTTGTTTTGAAATTATATGTTTATTTATTTTTTTAGATACTTAATGCATAATTTCATATTTTAATTTTATATTTTGAATTAATAAAACAACTATACATGAATTCTATTAAATACTCCATCCGTTCGCCTCTAAAAGTCACATTTATTTTTTGCGTCATTATACTTAACATTAAAAATATCATTATATTTGTATAATTTTTTCGTACAAATATCCTTCTATTAGTAATACAAGACACTAACTGAAGTATTTTTGTAATTTTTTCTTAATTTGTACTATGTTTTGATATAATAATAAATATTTAAATATCAACACGCAAAAAATAAATAAGAACCTTAGAGCCGGACGGAGATAGTATCCTATTTGAATTGCAGTATCGTATATTTACGATTTATATGCAATCACATATATTTAATACATTTTTAAATGTAAAATATTAATACATTTGATCATATATATTGTAAATTCATCGATATTTTATGAAATTATATACTTTCTATGTCCCATAATAAAATATTTATTTTTCTATTTTAGTATGTCTCATAACAAAGTATTCATTTTCTTTTTTAATGACTGTACTATCTATCTAACATTATAAATATCCTTACAACTTACAATATATTACACAAATGTCATTACCTTTATATCACACATACTAATAAGATTATTTTAGTCATTTTTACTTTATTCATACTATATTCAAATATAATATTAATATTTTTAAAACTACGTGAAAAAACAAATGAATATTTAGTTATGAGACGGAGAGAGGGAGTACGTTGAATTTTTTTACCCCATTGAATGATTCTAAATACACAAGACAATTTTACTAATTCATATAATACTGATCAACATGCAAAATTTTGATAAATCTAATGGTGAATGATTCAACATAGTATAAGTCTTAGTCGATCAAATTGATTT